TTGAAATTTAAGGAAATATTCTGTAAGAAGAAACAATGAGTAATCTAATTAATCTCAAAAGTTTAGACTTAAGATTAGAGTATTCTTTTTTTATTTTATCTTTTTAATATAAATAATTAATCTTTCAAAACTCATTAAAATTTGTCATTATTTATTTTTAATAAATTATTTTAAATAATTTTTAAATAAAAGTGGAAAATAAATTGGTGATAGAATAGAATAGAAAAACTCGCACATATAAATGCACTCAGAATACATCTTAAAATTTATTTTTATTATATTTATATAAATAATTTTTATTTATTTTTAGGTATTTTCATAATTATTAATTTTTAATAATTCAATCAATATCTGATTTTTGAATATTTAATATACACCCTGTTTCCTCTTTTTATCATTAATTCCAGAACAATTTGGTAATTTAATAACCTTTTTCTATTGGAAATGAAATTGGAGATAAAGGGGCTTAAAATATTGGATTAGGTTTAAGGAATTGCACTCAACTTATAAATTTAAAATTTATTAAAAAGTAAATTTTATTTATTACTTTTGAAAAAAATTATGTAAAAGCTTTATTATTCAAACTGAATTAAATAAGCTTAAAATTAAAAAAATATAAAGTCTCTAACTTTAATTATTTCATTTATAAAAGCGCAAATTAAATTGGGGATGATGGAGCTTCTACTATTGGTACAGCACTTGGGAACTGCAAGTTCCTTACTAATCTTGTTTTTGTTATTTCGTAAAAAAGATTTTATATTTATTTATTGATAACTTAAAAAATTTGAATTACTTTTTTTACTTTGATTTAAAATTTCAAATCAAATTTAAATAGTGAATAAATAGATTTATTTTGTTTGAAAAGGTAAAATTAAATTGGTGATAGAGGAGCACAAAATATTGGATTAGGTTTGAGTAACTGCACTCAACTTACAAATTTAAAATTTTGGATAGAGTAAATTCATCTCATTTATTACTTTTGAATAAAATTATGAAAAACTTTTTCATTCAAACTGAATTAAATAAATTTAAAATTTATAAAATAAATGCTTTTAACTTTAATTAAATGTGATTTTCATTTATAAAAGCTCAAATTAAATTGGGGATGATGGAGCTTCTACTATTGGTACAGCACTTGGGAACTGCAAGTTCCTTACAAATCTTGGTTTTGTTATTTCGTAAAAAAGATTTTATATTTATTTATTGATAACTTAAAAAATTTGAATCACTTTTTTTACTTTGATTTAAATGTCAAATCAAATTTAAATAGTTAATAAATTAATTTATTTTGTTTGAAAAGGGAAAATTAAATTGGTGATAGAGGAGCACAAAATATTGGATTAGGTTTGAGTAACTGCACTCAACTCACAAATTTAAAATTTTGGATAGGGTAAATTCATCTCATTTATTACTTTTGAATAAAATTATGAAAAACTTTTTCATTCAAACTAAATTAAATAAATTTAAAATTTATAAAATAAATGCTTTTAACTTTAATTAAGTGATTTTCATTTATAAAAGCTAAAATTAAATTGGGGATGATGGAGCTTCTACTATTGGTACAGCACTTGGGAACTGCAAGTTCCTTACTAATCTTGTTTTTGATATTTCGTAAAAAAGATTTTATATTTATTTATTGATAACTTAAAAAGTTTGAATTACTTTTTTTACTTTGATTTAAATGTCAAATCAAATTTAAATAGTTAATAAATTAATTTATTTTGTTTGAAAAGGGAAAATTAAATTGGTGATAGAGGAGCACAAAATATTGGATTTGGTTTGAGTAACTGTACTCAACTCACAAATTTAGAATTTTTGATAGGGTAAATTTATTACTTTTGAATAAAATTATGAAAAACTTTTTCATTCAAACTAAATTAAATAAATTTAAAATTTATAAAATAAATGCTTTTAACTTTAATTAAGTGATTTTCATTTATAAAAGCTCAAATTAAATTGGGGATGATGGAGCTTCTACTATTGGTACAGCACTTGGGAACTGCAAGTTCCTTACTAATCTTGTTTTTGATATTTAGTAAAAAAGATTTTATATTTATTTATTGATAACTTAAAAAGTTTGAATTACTTTTTTTACTTTGATTTAAATTTCAAATCAAATTTAAATAGTGAATAAATTGATTTATTTTGTTTGAAAAGGGAAAATGAAATTGGTGATAGAGGAACATAAAATATTGGATTAGGTTTGAGTAAATGCTCTTAACTTACAAATTTAAGTTTTATATCAGAGTAAATTTTATTTATTATTTTTGAAAAAAATTAAATTAAAGTATTTAAGATATTAATTAAAATATCTTTTTTTTTAGTAATGATGATATATTTCTAAAATCAAGTGAAATCATTAACTGTAAAAACATAAAGTTATTAAAAATAGGGTAATTAATTTTTTTTATTTGATAATATTAGAAATAATTTTTATCTAAAAATTAAATTTAAATTTGAAAAAACATATAGATATTTCAAAAGATTGGCTTAAAAAATAAAAAGATTAGTTAAATTAATTGTAGAAAATGAAGATTGAATTACTAAAATTAATAATTAAATATTAATTTATTAACATTACATATTATTATAACAATAAATATAAAATATAAAAGTTTTATAATGAGTATATATTTTAATCTTTAATTGCATTTCATAAAAAAGAATTGATTGAATATCAGAATTTAATTATCATTTAGTAAAATTAATAAAATGTTGAATATATATGCTATATAGGATAAAATCTTTCTTTTGTATCTACTATATTAACTATTTGCAAAATAAAAACTGTATTAATTTACTTTTTTAATCTTTAGGTATCTTCAATTAATTATATTTAACAATTTACAAGATTTAAAGATTAGTAGAAATTTGAAATTTTTTTAAAACTCCATAAAAAATTGTTCACAAAACATAATGTATGTATGTATGTATGTATGTATGTATGTATGTATGTATGTATGTATGTATGTATGTATGTATGTATGTATGATAGTGACACTTAATATTTAGAATAAAAAAATTGAAAATATTTACTAAGTATATTTTTTAAAAATAATTATCTAGATTAAATTTAATGCCTTTTTTATAAGAACCAAATTACTTATATTTAATGATTTCCTTTCTTAAAATTTTAAAGGATTTGAATTATTTTTTTGTAAAATTATCTTAATTATTGGGCAAAAACAATAAATTTAAAACATTTTTAAACAAAGATAAAACACATATAAAAAAATAATTTATCTTTAAAATATTAGAAAAAATAATATTAATATAAACATAAAAATTCAATGATTAGAATTACTGTTACTTATAGTACTATTAAATAATACATTTTTTTTAGGTCCATTATCTAGCTTGTATTTATTTAGGCGTAAGAAATCTTCTTTTTGCAGCACATTTGATTCTTCTAATTCAGGAGTCTAGAAATTTTCATCTTTCAATTAAAATTTCTTATTTTATTAGCTGTTATCATTAACAGATAAAGGAGATTGCATTCCTTCAGAGTTAACAAATCTACTTAAAACATATTATTTTTATTATAAATTCTAAGAATTTTTGATATTTTAAATTGACAAATCTTCAAAGTTAGATAGTTATTTTTATGGTAACTAATATTATTATTATTATTATTATTATTATTAAGCAAATCTCTCTAATTTTTTAGCGATACTTCGATCTAAAAGTTTAAGTAATTTGATATCTATGCTTGAAATATTTTGCTGGTTCTTATAAATTTGTTAGTATGCTTTTAGCGTTTATTCTACCTTTTCATCTTCATTATAATTGACTGATCTGAGTAGATTAAATTCTGGGCTTAGTGACATAGAACTCTAGATTTAATTGCCACATATTTCAGTTTATTACTAACAATTATTATTGGGTGAAGTGTCTAATACTTATTAATTTAAATTTGGCTGATTTTATTATAGCTTTATTTTTTACTTTAATTATTTCAAATGAATGTCAATTATTTCCTATGACACCTTAGGTTTTGAAATAAATTCGAATAACTATAGCTGATTTTCATTTAAAAAGAGATGTTTGAATTTTTCAAACTCCAAAATCTTATTGACAATAAAGTTAATATCTGTGTATTCTGTTATTTTTTGCTAGCTGAAATCTATAAAGTTTGAAACCTTATTGCGTTTAAAACAGCTAAAGTAATAGTAAATAAAATCTTTGAGCTAAATACTCAACTTTTTGGTTTGACTGATACCTTTTTTGATCTTTTAAAATAACTCATACTTTAAAGTCTAGTCTTTATCAGAACTTTATGAAATATTGCCACTTTACTAGTTTTATTTAGGACTATCTTCTTTTTTGCTAATTAAAGAGTTAGCCATTGGACTATCTCCATCTCTTCTTACCTTTGGACTCACGTTTTAGATTATAGAATTTTGAAGTTTTATTTTTTCATTTTTTTTGAGATTTTCCTTGTTATTCACTTTAGATTTTTCTTCTTTAATGTAATCTTTAAATTACTCTCCTTGTTTAGTCATTTAATTGCTTTCATCAATTTTATTTTCTTTCATACTAAAAGTAAACGTTTAGTTGATGAGCTCTTTTTTAAGTTGAAGCGAAGTGTACGGCTTAGCTAGTATGCAGCCAACAAAAAACAATATGTTGTAAAAACCACCAATTTAAGAAATGACTGAGCTCAGCTTAGTATATGTTCTATTAATATTTAACTCTTTGCTTTTTTCCAAATATATTATAAGTTTGAAAAAGCCTAAGGAAGTATCTTATCCTGTTATAGCTGACTGCTAAGAGAATAGCAATTAACTTTACTATTAAATATCAGAACCTATCAATCCGATATCATCGTTTACATGGGTATTCATGTATGTGAAAGATACTATTTACAAGGCATTTGTATTTACGCTGTAGTAAGTACCACTTGCGTATGGTATAAAAGGATTTTAATAGTTTTCAGCTTAAACTATATAATCTGAATAATAAACATGCATTTATCTATTCTTTATTTTATTTTCGATTACTTAGGGATCTGCACAGCCTTTTCCCTAGCAAGTAGAGATAGTAATTAAAATACCCGAATAAATATTTGTTTCAACTTAACCTTCTAAGTAGAGATTATCTATGTCTTAAATACAATAAAGCTAATCATAATTGTAAATAGCAGTGAATTAACTCTAGAGTGAAGGAATACCAAATAGTTCTTGAGTGCAAGGTCCAACTTTTATATTACTAAAGACTGATTAATATTTAGTATTTCCATTTTTATCTTAAACAGGCACTTTCAGCATGAATTAAGCACTTGCCTTATAAATTGTTTCATCCATAAAAGGGTTTTAGTTAGCATCCAAAATACCAAAAGCAAAAATAAAATTATTTCTATTTAAGTCCACTCTTGAAGGTATTTTTAGCTCATTTTACTGAATTACTTAAGGGTTTTCCTTTCTGTAAATGATCAAAACAGAACTTACAGCCATGTAAACAAGTACAGCAAATACAATCAAAGAAACAAAACCGCCAAGCCTTGTTGTAAATTTATCTTTTGAATGAAAATTTATTTAGATAGGAACTCCAAAAATGTCTAGCCCATTTAGCATAGATCTCACACCTGAGTTTGTTTTAGAAATCATCTTTTAGTTTTAGGAGAAATTATTTAATAATTGATTTTTTTTGTTAATTAATTATCTAGATTACTGATTAAACTAGCAGATTTAATAACATATAATATATGGCCAAATTATAAAAAATCTGCTAGTTATTTCATTTACTGATTTTGATTTAATGAAATAACTTTTCTTCACTTTTTATGCTTTTATTTAATCTAAATTATATATTTTATTGCTTTTTAAATTTTATTTGTTTGATGATATTAATTACACTTTTTCTGGAAAGAAATATAAGAAATTAAAAAAAAAACTATAATTAGAAATGATCCTTATAAGAAATTCAAATATGTCTAGCTAGCAGGTTTAGTATAGAGATTAATACTTGAGCTTATTTTAAAAGCCATCGCTACATTTTAATTATAAATATACTGATTATTTACATTTAAATTATTTCTGCTATTAATTATCATAAATCAGTAGATTACATTTAAAAATATATTAAGTTAGTTAGTTTACTTATTTTAAGATAAAGAGTAAAATAGAAAATAAGTGCATGATTTTCACCTAGCATTTTAAAATAATAAAATAACTTTTCCTCAGCTTTTTTGCTTTTCTTTGATTATTTTTTTTTTCATTTGGTGGTAATAATAGCTAAAAAGTAAATTACTGGCTTAATAATAATTGAATTATTCCTTTTTTTGCTTACTGAAATTTATAAAGATCAAAGACTTAATACAATTAAGTAAGATAATTTATATGTAAAAAATATTATAAGTGTTTGTTTGCTAAATACATTTTTTATTAGATTTTCGTTGTTTTCTTAAAATATTTGTTTGGTTTTTATTCAAATTTTTTAAATAATTAAGTAATTTATCCATCTTTATTTAACTATTTAGGAATAGAGAGTAAGCCATAAGTGTTAAAATAAAAAGTAGAAAGTGAAAAAAATATATTTAGTTTTACAAAATAAGAAAATTTAATTTTTTTTTAAATGTTACTTCGATAAAAGTAAATAAATAAATAAAACAAACAAACTTTAATAAAAGTACCTAATTTTTGTTCATTTTAATTTATTATTAGAAACAAACCCCTAAGTTTTATAAATAATATAATTTATTATTAGAAACAAACCCCTAAGTTTTATAAATAATACTTTGTATTTAAAATTATTTTTTACAAATTAAAAATAATAATAATAGCTAAATATCATAAAAGATATTATCAAATATAATTTATATAAAAAATTTAAAAATAATTGTATCGCAAGTATTAAAACTCATATTTTATTAAAAGTAGTGTGGTTGCTTTTCTCATGGCTTATGCTTTTCAAATTAAGTTAGCATTTAAAAATTGATTGCTTTACATATTAAGAAATCTAATTTGAATTGATAATCTCTCATTTCTAAAATCTATTTAAATTTAGCGTTCATTTATTTTAAATATAAGCATAGATTCATTCATTTTCGTGTACTCATATAAATTTATAATAATTTTATATTCAGGAAAAGGATTAGAAAACAAAAAAATTGAAATTTTTTTATTTTAAATACTCATCAAAAAAATTTTAAATCACATCTGTGTGTAAGGGAATTTAAATTTTCAAAACTAATTTTTACAAATTTAATCACATTTAAAAATACAAATAATATTTTGCTGATTTATTTATTCTAAAAATAAAATATTAGCAAATGATTCCTAAGTATCTAAAAAACACAGAGATCTCTAGCCACTTACTTGCTGAATATTAAAATTATAATAAATTCCTTTCATATTTTGTTTGATATTTATCTTTTATTAAATTTCTGCATAACATACATATGTGATTTTTTAAATATAAATTAATTTCTGATGAAATTACTTCCTCTTTATTGTTTCAAATAACTTATTTTTGACAGTAAAATTAATTCAGCGATATACTGATCTCATTATATTCATCAATGAGGTGTCATTAAATTTAAAATTAATATACTATCTTATAATTTGAACCAGAAATCTAATCAACTTTGGTGTAAAGAAATATAATTAATTGAAAAATAAAAATTATGTTTTAGAACATTAACTAATCCACCCAAAATAGGTTTTATATGTTAATGACTAATAACTATAAATCAAGCAAGCAAGGAAAATTATTTGCTCTTACTTTAGAAATTATAAATAATTAAAAAATACATTCAAAAAAAAATAAAACTGATTAATTTGCATAGATTTATTATTAATTTTTTGTAAATTTAAAAATGCAAATAACATTTTGCTTTTTTATTTATTCTTAAAATAAAATAATTTTTATTTTGCTAAGTGATTCTTAAATATTTAAAAAACATAGATATTACTATCAACTTGTTGAATATTAAAATTTTAATAAATTCCTTGAATGTTTTGATATCTATCTTTTGTTAAATTTCTGATATTGTAATAAATGCCTTTTTAAATATAAATTAAAAATTCTGATGAAATGAATTCCTCTTTATAGTTTGAACTAACTAATTATTGATAATAAAATAAATTCAGTAATATATAGACATCATTCTACGCATCAATAAGATGTCAAGAAATTTAAATATTAATCTTTGAAAAGTCTTCTAATTTTTACCAGAAATTTAATTAACTTTGGTTTAAGCGAATATATTTAATTGAAAAATAAAAATTATGTCTTTATAAATAGAACTTTAACTAATCCACCCAAATTAAATTTAATATTTTTATGATTAATTACTATAAATCAGCAAAGTAACAAGGAAGAGTATTGTCTCTTATTTTAGAAATTATTAAAAATTAAAAAATACATCACAAAAAAAATATTAACATACAAATAAATATTATCCCCTAGTTGATTAACTCGCATAGTTATTTTTTACTAAAATGAATTTTTTGTAAAATTTATAATTGCAAATAATATTTTGCTTATTTAATTATTCTAAAAATAAAATAATATTTTTGTAAGTGGTTCTTAAATATTTAAAAAACGCAGCTAGCTGCTTGCCGAATATTTAAATTTTAATGAATCTCATGCATATTTTGTTATTTAACTTTTGTGTATTTCTGCATAACATACATACATATATAGGTGACGTGACTTACTTTTTAACTATAAATTAAAATTTTTGATGAAATTTATTCCTCTTTATTGTTTCAACCAACTATTTATAGTAAAACTAATTCAATAAAATATAGATCTGATTTTATTCATAAATAAACGAGATGTGAAAAATTTTTTAAATTAATTAGTAAACTATCTTCTAATTTCTATCAGAAATTTAATCAACTTTGGTGCAAAGAATTGAAAAATAAAAAATCATGTTTTAATAAATATATATTTTTATGATTAATTGCTGTTAATAAAGTAGCCAACAAGTAAATGCAATTGTATTGGCTCTTACTTTAGAAATGATAAAAAATTAAAAATACTTCACAAAAGAAAAATATAAACATACAAATATTATAATTTAACTGATTAATTAATTTGCATAGATTTATTTTACTAAAATGAATTTTTAGTTAATATTCTTTTTAAAGTAATTTATTTTATTAGTTAGTTAGTTAGTTATAATAAAAATCAAAATTGTTTTAATAATATTCAAACTAACCATTAAAATCTCCTTTCATTTTAAAAGATTTTTTAAATTCTAATGAATAATTTCTGTTTATTGATTTAGCTTATAATAATATATTTTATATATTGTCATATAAAATGATTAATGCGTATCTTAATCAATTAGTAAACTGAGAAATCAGATTTGTTTAATAGCTAGCTATTTATTTGCTACAAATATATAATAACTTTTAAATACATTATTTAGACATAAAAAAGCAAGAATATGCGTTTAGCTATTCTATTTTATATTTAAAAACTCCTTTTTAATAAAAGCAAAGTTAAAATTTTTATTATAATATTAATTACTCTTTTGAAAGACATGAAAATTACTGAGATATTTATCAAAATAATTTACAAAACATCTAAATTTTTAGTAACTTTCATTCGTATTTTATGCAGAAAATATAACAAAGACTAAAAAATGTCAAAAAAGCTTTAGTTTATTTATTTATTTATTTCATCTTAATCTTTTTTTAAAAATGCAGGTATCTTCTTACAGCTAGTAATACCTAAAAACTCTTTCACCATAAAGTAGAGAAGTAAATTCATTGTTTGCAATTGCAAAAGATAAATAGCCTTAGCTTTAATATATTTTTGACTCATAATTGTAATATTCATTAAATAAATCATTAGATACAGAATAGCCCCCTTCACAATTTTAAATTTTTTTAATTCTTACATCTAGTAGAAAATCTGACTACTTCTTAACAACTTCTTAGCAACCAAGATCAAAGTAAAGTTATTAAATACCTTTGTTGATTAGTACTAATTTATCACTTAATCTGACTATTTCTATCGTTAGATTAGGATTACTGCTGCAAATATGCAACTTTTGATTTATTGATTTAATAGAATCGATATTTCCTTTGTTCTCTTATTGAATTAAAGAATAATCATCTTAAACTTAATTTTATTACTGGTTTATCAAATCTGTATCAATATTCGAATCTGTCATTTAATCTTTAATGAAAATGTTTTTTTCTAGATTTTTATCATCTTTAGACTAATTCCACTCCACTTAATTATATTAATTTTCTTCATCTATTTTTAGATCTAAATAAAAAATATTTTCATTAAATTAGACTAAAATAAAAAAAAATATTATACTGTTAGGCAAGTTAAATTTTTGATGTTATTTATATTATTCAAAAGAATTTATATTATTTTGGATATTGTTAAAAACTATTTGCTCATTTATTTCATTCTGATTTCTTTCTGGGATAACTAATTCGATTTGCTAATCTTGTCCAATTTAAAATTCACTGTTTGGCTAATTAGAATTTTATTATTCCTCTAAGTTTTCACCTTAATTTTACTTTTTAAATGAAAATTAGTTTAAAAAAAATAAATAATATTTTTTGATTTACCTCATCATAAAACCATTTTTAAAACCCTGAAAGAAAGTTTTTATTGAAAATCCAAACATACAATTAATCATTTTCTGTAAAAAATAAGTAATAGCATTCTTAAAATTTAATGAATAAATGAATCTTGCACATTAATTCACATAAATACATAACTTGTCCATCTAGAAGATTTACTATACTCATTGTATTTGTCAAATAACCTTTTAAAATTATTAAAATAAATCATTTTCAGTAAATGCAAAAAAAAAGATGAAAATATCAAAATTAATTTAATTTTAAACTATTTAAATTTGCTTGATTATTTTAAATGTTCAAGATTTGAATGAAACACTAATTATAAATCAGTACTATCAAGCAACTTTTTATGGAAGATATTTTTTAATTTAGATGGCAAAATTCATAATTATATTAAAATTTACTAGAAGTATATTTAGTTGCGACTAGCATGTCTTAATCATTTGGTACTAGTTAATCTGCCTTGATATTAAATTGATTAATCAATCTCTTATGACCGATATGATAAAGATAAATCTTGTTAGTGACAAAATGATCTTAGAAAATAACTAGAATTCCTTATTTTTTATAGAGCTCAAGCAATTTACCCTATGAGATATTTATTTAAGTGAATGAATTCTAAAATAAATCTAAAATTTTAACTTCTTTTCCCATATTTTAAATATACAGCATAGGTTTGCTCTTTTTGTTTCCTCCATAAATACATTTAATAAAAGCTTATCCTTAGAAAACCAAAGCTTTTTTACAATCTTTTTGAAATCTCTTTTTATTTTAATAGAAATTTTATCTTATTCTCAAGTATATGATCAACATTCTGAAAGCAATAAATAATAAAACCATTTTTAAAGCGTCGTTTATGAATAGATATATAAAAATTGGACCAAATACTAAGTAGAATGCTAAATTTAGAAGCAAATTCTTTTGGTATTTCAAATAGAATTTGTAAAAATAGGTTGAAGTAAATATAATATTATGTATAATCATATCATAAACTATTATTGCAATAATCATTTCATCTGTTAATAAAACCAAAAAAATAGGGATAAACACTTTAGTCAGCTCTATAAAAAGCTCAATTTTATAATTTTGAAAGCTACTAAGATCGAAATATTAAATTGTAATAGATGCATCAAAAGTTAATCTAATAATGTAGTTAAAGATTCCTACTTCATTAACTTCTTAAGGAAAACTATCCTTTTAGAAATAGAATTTAATAAGCTTATAAAAGAAGTATATGATCATCTAAAGGTTGCTTTAAACTAATATAAAATATTTAAACAGCAATTACTATGTTTGTTATTTGATAATTTTAGGATTTCTTTTGTTGCTCCTTTAATAATTAATACAAAAAGATATATCTATATTACTAATAAATACTTCTTTGATTTTTTAGTTAATATTTATCAAAAATATATATTAATAAAAGACTATACTTCAAACTATGCTTAATAAATATTATATTTATCTAAAAATATCTTCTTTTCTATAAATTGAAAATATATTTCTGTTAGTTCATTTAAAAACACTTTAAAGAATGAGAGATTCTGCTATGTTACTTTTAAAAATATTAATATAATTTAATATAAATAAATCTATCTATTAACATTATAACAAAAATATCAAATGTCTTTTGGCTTGCTTACTCATTCAGTATAAAAATAATCTAAATAGAATTTTAAAAAATCAATAAATTATCATCAAGTATTTATCTTAAAATGATTGATTGTAATCATAAATATATTTGCAATTTTTTATTTAAATATTCATTTAGTGTAATAAAAAGTAATATGATATTTATTTTAATATCGATTCTTAAATTATTAATGTTTATCGCTAAAAGTGCTTTAAATAATTTCGAAATAAATATTTTACTAATTAATTTAAATTTTGATTTTATAATTTTATCAAAAATACATTCAATACGAATAAAAAATAGTAATTTATCTTTAAAATATTTTTTAGATTTTAAATTTAGTTAGCTTTATATAAAAGAAACATTTAAATTTAGGTTTGATATTAATTGTGTTTGGAATAATGTTAATAAATAAATAAATTTATAAAATAAACATATCAGACAACAAAGAAATAAATACGTCAATGGGAAAAAATCAAAGCATTGAAAAGATTTAAAAAATATAAAACAAGCTTTCATAGGATTGCATTTTAAAAGAAGATATGAAGAAAATTATTAATAGCTTAAAAAATTAATATTAAAAAATAATTTTTTTGGCTAATGATAGAAATTCTTTACTAATTTCTTGCATACATAGGTAGAAAAAAGCAAATTTGATTTTAAGAATTTCAACACAGCCTTTTAAACCCTTAAAAATTATAGATATCAAAGATGATTCATTGTATCCATCTTGTTAGCAGCATGTTTTGTAGCAATTTAGTTTCATTTTATAAAAAGATTAATCAACTTATTTATAGAATCCATCACCTACAAAATAGATTTAGGTTACTTAAAACAGAAACAATGAAACAAATTTAAAATCAGAATAAATTCTTAATAAAATAAATATTGATAACTAATCTACATTATATAATGGACATTAAAAAGAAAACATTTCAACATTTTATGTGCAGGAACTGAACCAAACCCTTTATTTTTAAAATCTTAAAACTCTATGTTTCGCAGAATATTCTCCACCATATCAAATCAAGCAAAACTTCCATTTAGTGACCAAGATTTCTTTTTGCAAAAAGCTGTAATTTATTCTTCTTTAAAAATAAATCTTAATATTAATTAAAATAATAGTAATGAATAAATAGATATTACTGGAATACAATCTATTGTGGAAAAATGCATAAATCTTGAAAGTCTGACATTATAATTCATGTTATTTTAATTTGTTTAGAAATTCACACTAAATTCATTTTTAAAGGAAATCATAAATATAGCACTAAGAAATTCTCTGTTTAAATTATTGCTTGAGCTACTGCAAGCAGCTCTAGGAGCTTAATTTAAATTTAAGGTATTTTAAGAATATATTATCTATTAAATATTCAAAACTTTTTAGTAAAAACGAAGTAGGTGATTAAGGTGTTTTCCAACTAAGTCTGGCTATTTCTCAATTAACCAAGTTAAATTCATTGAAATTAAACTTAAAGTAAATTTAAAATAATATATGTTGCTTTGATATTAAAATATTATAAAAGATAACATAATTATCTTATTTTAAATTAAAATTAATTTTCTAAATTTAGATAAACTCAAATAACTGAGACTGGAGCCTAATATTTAGCAAATTCTTTACCTAATTGCAAAGAATTAATGAATTTAGATTTAAAAATAAAGTATATAATTTATTAATTAAAATCTTTAAAATTTAGATTTTATAAACAAAAATATTAATATATTTTATGTTTAAGCTCGAACAACATACAATCTAATGGTGTTTTATATTTGGGAATAGCAGTTAGCTAATGCAGTAAGATTAAGGAACTCAAATTAAACTTTGAGTAGCTAATTTATTATCCTGAATTAATTAATAAATAAATAAAAATTTTTTTACGATATAAAATTAAATAGTAGTGTCAAAATATAAGGAGAAGGAGTAAAGTCACTGGCTGATGGTATTGGAAAGCTGAAAGATATTGAATTTTTGAAATTAAAATTATCGTAAATTATTATTTCATTTAATAAAATAAAAATGAATATTTTAAATAAAAGATATAATGATATTCAAACATTGGAAGTCAAAGCACTTATCTCTGAAATATCTAAATGTAGTAAAATTAAAGAGTTAGATTTATGTCTTAAGTAAATATATACTTTGCTTAATTTTATATTTAACATTTATTTTTTTCAATCAAAAGATATACAAACGTTAATGGTGAGATTTCTTTTAGCAAATTATTAACAAATTTAACTAATTTAGAGGTGCTGATTCTAAATTTTGAGTAATTTTTTCTTTAAAATTTTTTTTTAACTAATTTTTTAAAATAAAAGCATTCACAATTTTCAATAGCAGAATATCGAAAATTTAGTATTGAGTCTTAATTCAAACTAAAAATTAAAGAAATTTGAATTGAGTTTCACGTAAAAAATATTTATTACATAATAATATTTATAAACTTTAATATCTGATAGAAACAATAAAATCAATTAAGAACTGGCTAATAAGATAACGAACAATATTATGTCAATGAGCTAACTCACTGACTTAAAGCTTTGCCTTAAGTAATCAAAAAATAAAACCATTAATTTTTAAAAATACTCTTTATTATTTATTAAATAGGAAAAATGAAATCAAAAAAGATGTCTTAGATATTTTTGGCATTAAAATTTCTTAATTCAAATAACTTAAATCGTTGAAAATGGATTTGTCGTATATTTTTTCTAATAATAATAAATAAATTTAAAAAAATTATAATTAATATATAGAAAAAATGATATAAATTCAGCTGCTTTTAGAAGTTTCATTAATAATTTAAGCTAATCAAAAAGCCTTAAATAGCTTCAAATAAATGTTAGGTAAATTTAATTTTTTTAATTTTACAAAAATATTATTTTTGATATTAATAATTAGCTAAAATGCCCCAAACTAGTTTCTATAGGATCAACAACTATATTTTCTAAATTAAATGACTTCACTCACTTAACTTAGACTAAATTTAGAGTAATCCAAATTTAATTTAAAAAATTTAAAACTAAAATAAATTTTCATTCAATTTAGAAGCTTTCTTATTTTTGAAGAAGATATCAGTAAACTCCAATAAGAGCTTATTTAGCTTAAATAACTCTAACAACTACAAATTCATTTTAAGTAAATTTTTAATAACTTAAAACTATTGATTAACTTATAAAAATAAAATTTAGACTCCGAATATTTTA